AGATGTGTATAAGAGACAAAGCATATCCTCCCTGCAGTGAAAATTTCCTTTGATTTGATTTAGCCAGCCTATCACGCTAAAAGGCAGGTTAAACCATAGAGATATAAAAAAAAAGATGATTCAACCAACATAATTGAATTCCCTATTAGAGCTACTGCAATGCCTAATTACCTTTCTCCAACACTGATTCAGTGATTGGCTCACTACTTCAAAAAGCCCGCTATCTGGTTACCACAGTGGGATGTAAACTTTCGTTCATATCATCGCAACCACTTGTTCATGAATATTTTACTCTCAATGAATGGCCACTTAGCAACGTCATGTTGCAGACCATACCGTATACTTGAATAAGCGCCGCTTTCGAATAAGCGTTGCACCTAACGCTAAGTGCCACAGCACAATCAATACAAAATACAATTAAATGCAATTTACACATACATAATAGTGTTAAATATATAAGTAACACAATGACGACGCAAGCATTTCTTTATTAAACGTTTACTTACGATGAAGTAAGACCTCCTCTACGATAAGCCTACTGAACTACAGGAATATGCGAGATAAAAGCCCCACGCCAATATTATTTTATAAGTGCCGCTCTCGAATAAGCACCGTATTGAAGCCTCCAAAAATGTTATAAGCTGAAAGCTCTGTCGCGTTCATTCTGAAGCCATGTTTGATAGAGCATAATTCGAAAAGTGTTTTTCTAAGTAATTATTTGAATCTGAATCTACTCCAAAAGTTGAGCAAGTACTGTGATTTTTAGCTTTGTAGGTGACCTAGAAAAAAAGTTATGACACTTCAAAAATCAAAGAATCCAAATAACAACGTCGTCGGCGGCTCTACACCGGTATCTCGAAAAGTATTGGTCCGATTGAGCTAAAAATTTGGATTTTTCTTAGTTACTGAAGTTACAACAAACCCTGAAAATTTAAACAAAATCTGAGATGGTGACTTCCGCGGCCACGTTGAATTGGCATGGAATGACCCAAATGAAAAATTTCATACAGGTTTTATTTCCATGAGCTGGAACCAATCACTGCTTCACTTTAAACCAATTTGTATTCTTACGTACAGTTTCTCCTCTACGACCTGAAAATGAGTGGTCTTGTGACTCGGTCTGCAGTTTTGAGGGTTAGGTCTATGGTAGCTACTATGTCGGTAGCTAAAACAATGTTCAAACTATCAATTTTTTATTTGACATAAACATGTGACATGCCTAAATATGGTCATGATGACATCACATCATGACCATATATAGGCACATCATGACTAAATATGGGCATAAAACAGTTCATTGTCAAAGAAAATTCAACAGTCTAGACAGAACTTATAGAATTTAATAATAAATCCAATTTGATTTTCAACATTATTGCTGAATAAAACACACACTACCTGTGTGGCATTCTAGTTTAACAGCTAAACAATCTAACCAGATTGAAAAATTTCAAAAAAGAGTGTGTAAAATAATTATTGGTTTTCATGCATATATTCGAGGTACTCAGAGGCTTTAGTTAGACTTAACCTTAATACACTTGCTTGCAGACGTTTCGAATCACTTACTCGCTTTGCTAACAGTATTCGTGAATCCCAAAGATTTAGATACCTTTTACCCAACAACACTGAGGATCGTAGGTCATCATTAAGAAATGCTAAACAATTTTCAATAATGAAATGCAAGACAGAAAGATTTAAAAAATCATGTATTCCATCTATAATATCAATTTTAAACAATGAATCTTAGAGCGTTTTATCTACTTTAGATATGCAATGACCTTTTTTTACAGTATTTTATAGATGCATCGAATTTATCATAATTTTATAATAATGTTTTTATCTATTTCTTGTTTTAATGTGTGCAATTTTTTTTTTTTAAATTGAATTTTCATTAAGTGTTTGTAACCGTGCCATTTCAGTTTTTTAACTACCGGTCATGGATGTGTGTTTTTTATACTGAAATAAATAAATAAATAAATAAAAAATGATACAAGAACTAAATTATGTAAACAATCGACTAGAGAAGAAACTACAATTCAATTTCTACTATTTTATTTATTACTATTATTTTGTCAATTACCCGTTTAGTTTGGGTTGCCATAACAACAACCCATCCAATTAATTTAACACTAGAAGATACGGCAATCTTCCTTTCATCATTTCTCATTTATCTGCAGGGACTGTACATCATGAATGTTAATTAGACAAAATGCTTTTCACAAGCTTTTGAATTGCAGACTCCACAGTCTAATTATGGTAGTACAATAGTAATTAAACCGGCAAAAACTACACCATAAAACAGCATGCTTAATTTGAATAACAAGCTCCGAACGTCTATCATTATTATCAATATCATTTCTTCTACAAGAAATAATTAAAAAATTATAATGCTCAGTGCTGGTCTTCAATTAAACATAATACTGGCATATGATGATTATCTACAATTGACTTAAAAATAATCATATTTTAATATTTTTTGTGTAACATTTCAAAGAATTATTTACCTGTGTAGATTTCACATCAAAAGCTTCGTCGAAAGCATACTGTTTTTCCCGAGAGCGATTGACACGGAGCACGTCGTCAGGGTCATCAACTGGATCCATCAGCACAACCATCTGGAAAATAAAATATCACTTCTGTTAAAGAAAATTAAAGTAAAATAAACAGATTCGATATTAATCATTACTTTCAAAGATAGAATTATTGTATTGTAAAGTAAGACTTTCTTTATACCTTTTTGCACACCCGCCACTTGCCAATGTTGATTATTTTGAATAAAAATAAAATCTTATTTTTGGCCAATTAACACATCCGCCGCCACGTAAAAAATTGAAATTTCAGAAAAAAATATAAGTTTTTCTTTATTTTCATTACGCCCGTCGCTGCCTTAAAATCTCCAAAAATAAGATGTATATTTCTTCCTCATTATATTAACTTTAAAACATTTTACCATCCCATTACTACAATGTTTACATTCAACAATAAAATTTTATTTTTAAATTTTTCTTCTCAATCTTGAAGGTTTTGGCAAAACCATTTGCTAAATAAGAAGACTAAATTTTATTTATATCTTTTTTCCAACTTGTAAAAAAAATAATTTAGCGAAACGGGGTAAAAAATGTCTCGCCTAAGCTATTCCTATAGAAATGATAAAAATATTTTCTTGTTAATTAATATTGTAAAGCCATGGAGCTTGAGTGTGTGTTCCATATGTGCTGGATCCAGTGATCCGGGGGTAATAATGTTCAAGCGTCTCGAGGTTGTGTCAAATCCAAGTCAAATTATTATAAGATATTGTCCATATTTCATCAGGAATTAAAATTTAAAAAAATTTCTTGGGCTTAAATACAAAACAAAAATAAAGATATATAACAGATATAGTTAAAAACAACAGACATATTCCTAGGGTTACCAAGTTTTAAAATATAAAGAACTTATTTCCATTGAGGCCCATAGATACTAAATCTTTCAATAAAGTTTCTGATCAGTCTTTGTAATGAAAATCTTTCATAGTCACGCTTGCATGCAACATCTTGTCAATACTGGAGGTCACACAAAGAATATTTAAATAAATACTATGACTAATTAAAAAAATAATACCATGAATAATTATTTGCTCAGCAGGCCCTTCTAAATAGCTGACACTACAGAATGCATGTCTACAGTATGTGAATTAATATTAGGGAGCTTTTGACTGTACGGCGACGAGAGGACGTAGAAACGTAATGACATCACTAAAAGTCATCTGCACATGCGAGAATGTTAAGTTCGCCTCGTCGCGTGGATTCTAGTCTGACGCAATTTGGCCAGATCTACGTACGCAGAGAACTTAGGACGGCCGGTAGGATGGTCGCGCACGAGTGATTCTGTTCTAGTGTTGCGTTGTTGAACAAATCGAAAACCTCCCTATTATTAATACACTACTTTAGAGATGGTATAAGCTTTGAGAACTGAGGTTAAATCGAACTGAATTGTCGTTTCATTTGTATTATATAGGCTAGTTTCTGCCTTGGGTGGGGGTTGCAAGATCCCCATTTTCCAATGAAAACTTAATGGCCATTTTTAGTATTTTCTTTTTGTTGGCCCATGATGCTGGACCGACACAATTTCATGGAGAATGCTAAATGGCGACGCAATAACTTGTTTTTAATGACGCGGTCTGCTCAGACTACTGTATCATTAGCAAATGGCGTCAAGCAATCCTAGAGAGTAGACATGGATTTGACAAACTGTATAGTACAATGCAGTATGTGCCAAGGTATAACTGGTGTTATGCTGTTGAATGTGTTGAAGTAAATATTTTTTAACAGAAAAATCCTGAAACTGTCATATTTATGAACGAATCTGTTGAAAATGCTATGATAAAAAGCTTTTAAACATTTTTAATGATCAATACTTTTCCTACATAAAAAATTAATAGAACTAGTAGAATATAAAAGAAAATTGTCTTTTAAGATAACAAATTTTGAAACCTATATCGCCATGACTACTGTGGTGTACAGTAATTGATAAAGTATTTGGAAATTATCTTTTAATGGCCACCTACAATTCATGTCATTATAAATCAACTTCACCTTCAATTTGTATATTAAGCCTGCTGATCTGGAGAAAATAATATCTTAGTAATGAGAGCATAAGTGTCACCATGGTAATGACATGCATCATACTATGATTCTATATTTATCACATTCAATATTCAATTAACTTGATGCACATTGGAAATATTATCTTTAAAATGACTTATAGCTGTCTTCTATAACATGGAATTATTATTAAAATATCATGTTCAATGTGGATGTTCATTACATAATATATCATAACATATCATACCATTTATTTTGCCAACAAAAACATCAGAAAACACATTAGACAAAAGACTGTTTACGTTTGCCAAAAAGTATAAAAAGAAACTTTTAACTCTTTAAATTATTTCCAAACAGTGAAGAAGGTAAATTCATATACTGAAACCAATAACAGGTACTTAAACAAAACAACTAGCACTAGAATCCGTCAGTGTCTGATGAAGTTCAACTGGTAGTAGATCGAAACATCGAAGTACGTATTATTGGTTTCAGTATATGAATTTAACTTCTTCAAACTTTTAACTGTCAAGAACTCTCCTCGTATCACCTTGATAACATAAAAAAATAATAATTTTAATAACATTAATAAAAAATAATAACCTCATTGTTTGCATATTACTAAATAGAGTAATAAATACTGAAGCATTTATGGCTCTTTTTTTTAATTAATTATTTTTTTAATTTCCTAATTAAACAAAGCATTTAATGACGAGAGGAAGTGGAGCTGCTTTAATTGAACTATTTTTTTGATCTTCAGAAAATGTGGTGCTAATTCGAGAGTGGTACTTATAAAAAATATTGGCGTGGCGCTTTCTATGCCCGTTCCCATGTTACCTATCTTGCATATTCCTGTAGTTCAGTAGGCCTATCATAGGTCCTACGTCATCGTAAATCACAAGCTTAGCCAGCGAGCCGTCTGGTCGTCTTTAGGACGGCTAACAATTATTTAGGATGGCCACTTTTACTGTAATGGCTTGGATGGCTTGGCCCAATCAGCTCGGACTAGCCTACCTTTAGCAAATTTTTTATATTCTTCAAATCTATCTAATGTTACATAACATTAAACTAAAGCTAAATCATATTTACGTTTGATAAAAGCAACACTTATTGATTGAATGTATGTTGTTTTCATACCAATATTTGGTGGGGATTCCCAAAAATGTAAGGCTTAACCATGCCTACCCGGTGAAAAGTTCACTTACAGCACACGTCGTGTTGAAAATATTTATACCCCGCTGGAAAATCGACGGTTCTGAGTTGCCCACAACACATGCACGTGGGTCTGCATATACAATACTTAAGATTCAGTTCCCTGACATAGGCCTATTGTTGGTGTTCGTAACTCTCTGGTTATAATTAATTCATGAAAGAAGATGTTGCTAATGTCACAAGTTTATTAGTCAACAAAATACAGCAGGTCTAAGCCTACCTCTCGATTTGGAGTACCTGGAGTAGAATTTACACTAGGCGAGAGATGAAGATGCATCTGCATAGCCTAGAAACATTATGTGAGCAATTGTAGCCATGGGCAATCTGTCTCTAACTGAAACATCTTTGTAATAGCTAATTTGACACTATTCCTTTGAAGACCCAATTCCAACATTCAAACACCTTTAAATGCCCTGTAAAGATCATACTTTTCTATTTAAAAAAGAAAAATTTTGGAAGGGGACTTGGCACACCGATTGACTCAGGGCCACGCTCGCTGGCTTCTATTTTGGACGGTCTAGTTCGGTTTTCCGCCTAAATCTCTGTCGTAAATAAATGTACATAAAGAAATGCATGCTTTTGTCTTTATTGTGTTATAAATTCATTTTTAACACTGTATATATTGTTGTATTTAAAACCCTCTTTTTCAAAGTGTTTCATTACACAGAAGGCAAAATAATATTCTCTATTAAGCAGCGGCGCTTAGCTAAAAAAAATCAGGTTTAGTCTGGCGCTTATTTAAAAGCGGTACTTATTCGGGCATTTACGGTATGCCAAAATAGTTTTTCTGTCCAAGCTCAATCATCTCAATAAATTGAAAATATACGGTCAAAAATACTTCTAAGATAAATTTTAAAGCTATATTTAATACAGCCTGTTTTTGGATTTTAGCCCAATTGTATAATATTTATTAAGCTTTTGTTGCAACAACTTTGTTATACTTTATTCCTCAACATGATTAATATTATTACCAGAAAAATTACATGGAGCTAGCTCATGATTAGCCATAGGCCTTCAAAATTGTGCTTAGGTCTAAAGTAAAAATAAATTTTAAAAAACTTCCCACTGATCTCGAGTTCCTTGGACAACTTGTACTGTTCAGTTTTCATTCAGAGAATTTCTTCTACAAAATATTTAATTATGAACGGCATACTTATGTTAAAATATGCACTTCAAGTTTAACTATCCCAGGGATAATTACTGAAAGGATTTTAGAAATAGGACGCCATTCAATCAAGCATTGTACAAAGGGCAAAAATGTTTATCTTTTGCTTTCCATATATTGTTTGAATGTCTGTAGTTTAGGTAATTGTTCAGGGGTGAATCCAGAATTTTTCAAACGGGATGGGAGAGGGGCATTTTATTCTTTTTATATTATATAACATTGATATGCACTGAAATTTATGGTTCGATCGAACAATTGGATAGGCATATCTTCATAAGACTTCTATGAATGGATACCTTGTTTGAAGGAAGAAACCAAGTTGTCATTATCCAGTAGCACTCGTCTATTTTATTCGTGTTGGAAACTTTTAACCTACGCAAAAGATAAATTCATGCTGGATAGACTTAATTGGGCGGAGAAGTCAGAAGACTACTTGCCTTAGAGGCCATAGGTCGTAAGTCAAAACACACACTGCCAATGCAATTCCATGAAGAATGTAATGCGACAAATTGTTTTTTAATGACAATCTACAAGACAGCACTGCGCTGTAGTGCTCACCAAATGAGAAGATGGATTTTTTAGTATCTTTTCTTTTCTTCTTTCATGCTATTATACATTCATTAAACTACTACAGTCAATAGTAATTATATTACACAAA